TGTTGTTTGATGGTGTTAAAGGTATTGTCACAGGATGTAAGCTGTTCCAAGTAAGGCTGCCTTTTGCAATTGATTGATGTATCATCATCATCATCATCATCATCATCATCATCATCATCATCATCATGCACTATCCCCTATCCTCTTCTAGCCCTAGTTGTGAGGGAGATCCGATGTGCTACATGTTTTTATTTTTGGCAGCATTTCTGCTGCCATGCCTTTGTTTGTTTGCATGCTATGGGGCCATAGCATGCAAAGATCCTAAGAGCTGGAGCTCAGTAAAGTGGGGAAACTACTTGGTAATCAAAAGGCCACTGACTAATCTGTATCTTGCTCCCAGGATTTTGATGCGATAAAGAAAGAGGTCTAAACTCAAGACTCATCTGGAACACACAAATCTTTCAGTAAAGGGAGGGACATGAAAATAAAGTTCCATTAGGTTATTTTTTTAATGTTCGAAACTGCCATACTGAACATTCAGTCTCACAAGAGACTGGAGGAAAAACTCTTTTTCTCTTTTCTCAGATCACTGGAGGCAATGATTCCAGAGAGCCTATAAATTAGGGTAGGCAAATGGTTGCTTTCCAGGCATTTTGGACTACAATTGGACGACCATAAAGACCAAGACAACATGGTCAATAGTAAAGGAACTATAGCTAGAAACATCTAGAGGGTACCAGGATACCTATCATGTGATGGATGCATTTTAGTGCCCAGATAGTGTGTGTAGTTAGTACATAATAGCTACAGTTCTTCACTTTATTCCAACAGTTTACTAGCCTGTTCATACCTTGCAGAGTAATTTGTACGTGCTCTTGTGCAGAATTCTCATATGCTAGGAGTTACTTTAACACTTGTACGCTGATGCACTCAAACCTATTTTCACAAAAAGTCAAGCTGAATAAATCTCTGGTGACACTCATTGGCTTGTATTTCCTAAAACTTGCTAAGATATCAACCCCCTTTACATCATACTTGGTTGTTATATGCATTTGGACACCTGCCTGTATAACTGCTTGCAGTTCCCCTTCTCCTGTAAATCAGTAAGATATTGCTAAGGTAACAATGCTGCCTGTTCCCCTCCCCCCAGTGTGTGTGTGTGTGTGTGTGTGTGTGTGTGATTTTGCAGCCACACCTACTTTTGTTTCATGCTTTCCTTGTACTTCATGGAAGTTTCATCCCATGTCTTCCAGGTGGACCTAATGCATCCACAAGATACTGATTATTTATTAATCTGCTTTCCTGCCCAAATGTTACTAGCTTTTTCCTTTTAACCCACCCCCAACCCCATGATCATTGCTATACTATATTGGGCAATTATGTGTTACAGATCTGCTAAAATCTAATGCAGATGGAAGTGTGAACTACTGAATCTCTATAGGAAAGTTTGAAACATCTTCATTAACAAGAAAGGATTGTTTAGAGAAAACAAGAAAATGTCTAATGTGTCTCAGAAGAAAATACAGTATACGTGGAAGCCACATAAATATATACGTAAAGAGAATGATGGTTGATCATTTCATGTTAAAGATTAAAGAACAAGACAGAAGGATTCTATAGTTGTCAAGAGTATTAATTGCATTTCAGGTAATTTAGGTACTATCTGAAGCTAGAGCAATCCATTTTCTTTTCCTCCCACAGTACTTCACAATTCCAGATAAACATTTTGAGTTGGCAAGGCAGGACAGGGCATCTACCACAGCAATGTATTGCTAGGTACTTGGTCTGTTAACAAAAAAATTTCCTATTAGTCTCCTGTAGCATTGGAAATCTGTATTTTCTTTTTCTTTTGGGGGCAACTGGTTGTGCATCTGCTACATTTCTACTTCATCCAAGGATTTCAGGTGTCAGTTATATATGGACAAAGAGAAGATGAAGTTAGCAGATAGGGATAATTTGCACTTGTTATGATATATGTACAGGAAATGTTTGCACAAATGAGATGGTTTTGAGCAGAAAAATAATGTAGGGGAATGTGAAATATTTTTGAATATACATCTCCAGCTGCCTGTCTAGAATCATTTAGAACTGCATCAGTAGGTGATGTGGAAACTGACAGTTAAGATGGAGTTGACAAAGGCAATACAAGTGTGTATTTTTGTCTACAGCTCTGTAATTAATACAAATATCTATACCATATTACTTGTGTCTTATATCCTTGGATTTGAAGGATTGCAACATAGTGATAGAATAGGGGGAGATGATGAAAAATCAGTGGTTTTGGATATGAACATATTTGAAACATCTGTTCAGGGACTTGTGCTTCCTACAGGGATTTCCAAAGAAATGTACATTGTATATATATATCTTTGAGTCAATGCACTGCACATGCAGAGAAATTTGATATCTGGTGTAGAATGCAACCTCCTGAGAGATCTGATCATTGTTTATTGAAATCTCAAAGTGGAATTAGGCTGAGCAAGAATGTCAGATGATGGATTTGTAATATACTTAATTCCTAAAATAAAGTATGCAAAAGCAGTAAACATGTGTAGAAGTCCACATAATATGTTCATTTAGAAGAATTTTGCTTTTATTTGGCATAAGATTTTGATTATTTGGTGATAAAAATATACATAGCACGGGACACAGTCTTGATACATTTGATTTGTGAGGCTTCACAGAGCAGAGGATTTTAAGGAGCTTATGTGTTAGGCTTTGGCGGGCTGGATTCAAGCATGCTATGAGCCTGCCTGATAGGTTGTACAGACTTTAGAACAATCTTCCCCAACCTACTTCCCTCTGGATGTGTTTGGAATACAACTTCCAGAATCCCCAACTAACAGTGATAACAGCTCGAAGGGAATTTTGGAAGCTATAGCCTCCAAAAGCTTTCCCCAACCTCGGTATCCTTCATATGTATGGACTTCAAATCCAGAATACCTAGCTTGTATGGCTACTGCTGAGAACTCTGGGAGTTGAAGCCCATGCTCTGGGTGAAACCATGATTGCAGAAGGCTGGTTTAGGCTCTCTCCCTCCTTTCTTGGCTGGATTTATTTTTGGCATAAAATCTCATCTGCTTCTTGCCTTGTAGAAATAGACCAGCCAGAAGTTGAAACTCTGATTGGAATGCGTAGCTGAAGATCTTTATTGGAAAGTGGAGCCCTACCCAGGGGCTGCCATACGAAGGAGCAAGAGAGACAGGTGCACACATGTGGCATGTCTGTTTTTCACACAGAATAAATAACTGGACAATTCATGGGCCAAAAGTTTACAGGGAGGGCAGTAAGCAATCCTTCCCCTCTCCCTCCCCCCAGTTTAATCCTAAATCTGCAGCTGCCTGGCTGCCTATGGTGACTATGGTTAAGCCAGGAAGATAAGTGAACAGTGGCCAGCAAAGAAGACTTAGGAGGATATGTCATATAAACGTATAACTCAAGGGGGCACTCGTACCCTTCAGGACATTTCCATTTAAATTTGCAGAACCGTGCTTCTCAAATCTTTCCAGCTCACTTGCTCGCTCTCCTTCCTCCCAGTGTTAAGCCTACTGAACTGTCAAGTCTGCCCTGACGATCCCTTATCCAGGGCCAAAAATCTGGGCAAGCACAGAGACATCCTTTGATAGGTGTCCCCGTATTATCACTGTGAGAATCTTAAGGATAAACACAAGAGTTCTTAAATAGAATCCCTGGCCCCCTCCACACATCTTCTTGCCTGGCTCAATTCTGTTCATTCACTTAAAGCACGAGGCAGGTGCTGTGTCCCAAAAGACAGAAAGAGGTTGGATGAAAACAGGAAGAAATGATGGGGTCTGAGGAACTGCGCT